GTTCCTGGAATATTTCTCCATTGCCAGCTGGCACAATGTTAAGTTTTGTTAGTAGAGGGCATTGTAGGGACGCTGGAGGAAGAAGGAGCTTCTTTTCCTAGTTCTGGTATGTTTTTTTCCATCTGGTTCCTACAGTACTTGGCTTGCATAAAATAAAAGATACCCAGTGGAACTCACGCCCAGCAAATTTCAGCAACACTTCAGCAGACGGTTTTCTGCAAATTACATGGGTTCGCATCCAGTTTAATCCAGTGAGTTTACTGGCACCCCCACATGTAGCTCCTGGTGAGTTCCGAAGGCAGCTGTGGCTAGCTTCCTCATGCAACGTTACTTTTACTTTTTTATTCATTTAGATTTACTCACACATTTCTAGTTTCTGATGCTCTTTATTCCTTCCTGAATTTCTGTGTTCCCACAGGGGATTATTTTTCTCCTGCCAGAAGAATTCCCTTATGGGTGTTAATTTTCTCAGTTTTTGTGTGTATGTGTTTAATTTGCTAATATTTTATAGAGGATTTTTGCATTTATGTTCATGAGTAAAACAGATCTATAATTTTCCTTTCTTATATTAATCTTCCCATGTGTTGCTATCAAGATTACATTAGATTCATAAAATTAGTTGAAGAGATTTCTCTCCTTACTATTCTCTGTAAGAATTTGGCAAGATTGAGATTATTTTTCTCTTGAATATTAGGTAGGACTCATCAGTGAAGCCACTTGGTCCTGGAGTTCTTTGTGTGAAGATTTATGTTTTTTAATATTAATTAAATTGAATTGTTACAAGAATATAAAGAAATTTTGATATGAGTCATTCTTTTCTCTTCATCCAAAAGTTTCAAATTGATTGGTATAAAGTTTTTCATAATATTCTCTTGTTAACTGTGTAGGATTTGTAGATATATTCACTTCTGATATTGATAATTTTTGTCCTATCTCCTCTCTTTTTCTCTCAACTTGCCAGATATTGTGGCCATTTAAAATAGCCTTTTCAAAAGAACTAAATTTGGCTTTACTGATTCTATCTATTGTTTATTTTCTATTGCATTAATGCATCTCTTATCTTTATTATTTCCTTCTGCTTTCTTTGGATTTATTTTGCTGTTCTTTCTTCCGAATTCCTTGAGATAAGATGAATGCTTAACTCATTAAATTCAGCTTTTTTTTTTTTTTTTTTTTTGTTTTTTTCTCCTCTCTTTTTCTCTCAACTTGCCAGATATTGTGGCCATTTAAAATAGCCTTTTCAAAAGAACTAAATTTGGCTTTACTGATTCTATCTATTGTTTATTTTCTATTGCATTAATGCATCTCTTATCTTTATTATTTCCTTCTGCTTTCTTTGGATTTATTTTGCTGTTCTTTCTTCCGAATTCCTTGAGATAAGATGAATGCTTAACTCATTAAATTCAGCTTTTTTTTTTTTTTTTTTTGGTGGCTGGCTGGTGCGGAGATCTGAACCCTTGACCTTGATGTTATAGCACCACACTCTAACCAACTGAGCTAACTTGCAAGACCTTCTTTTTCTTCCTAATATGTATATTTGGGCCTATGCACTTCCCTCAAAATATTGCTTTAGCTGCATCCAGTTTGATATGTGGTATTTTTTATTATTTAGTTTAAAACATTTTCTAATTTCTGTAATAATTTCTTCTTTGATTCATGGGTTATATAGAAGTATATTTTAAACTTTACAAACATAAGGCTAATTATCTTTTGTAACTGGTTTCTAGCTTAATTGCTTTGTGAGCAGAGAATGTGTACTGTACGACTTCAGTCTTTTGATATTGGTCAACACTTGCTTCATACCTAGTATAACATCAATTTCTGTGTATGCTCCAGAAGTTATTGAAAATAATATTTATATTCTGCTGTTTTTGCACACAGATTTGTATATATGTACATTAGGTCAATTGGTATCACATTCAAATATCCTAGATCTTTATTGGTTTTTCTCTGCTTAATCTACCAATTATTGAGAGATGGCTAGAAATTATTTATACTTTTTTGGGGGTTAGTATATACAGTACTTTCTTTTATCTCATTTGTTTATATTTAACCTTTCTGTATCCTTAGGTTTGAGATGTGCTTTTTTTTTTTTAATGAGTTAGTTTCTCATTCAGTTCTATAATCTTCACTTTTAACTTGAGTCCATTTACACATTATATAATTGCAAATACATATGGGGTAAATAGTCTGTCTTATCTTTTACTCCCTATTTGTCACACTTTTTTCTTGCCATCTTTGGATTCTTGGTGTTGTTGATGCTGTTGTTATTCCATTATCTTCCTACTCAATTTGGAATTTTAAAATTGTACTTCTAGTCTCTTCATGATTATTCTAGAAAATATAATCTTTAAATTACCAATAGCTAGACTTTGTACCTTTATCTTCCTCCTAAATAACAAAGGGAACTCAGAACATTTTAATCTCATTTTCCCAGCTCCTACCTTGTCATAATTGTATTGCATTAAAATTTTATCTTTTTAAACTTTGTATGACATCATTATTATTATTTTACCCTATCAATGTTTGCTTGGATTTACCCACATATTTTCACTACTTTGTTGCTCTTTATCCTTCTTACATCTTGGATTTTTGCTCTGGGATCAATATATGACTATGGGAAGTTCATTCTTTAGAATATCTTTTGGGAGGGTTTATTGGTGATTATTCTTAGCTGTTTTTTGTTTTTGTTTATGTTTTGTCTGAAGACATTTTTAATTCATCCTTATTTATTTTTTACTATAGAAATTTTAACATATTCAAAGAGGGAAGGATAATTTAAGGCACTCCTGTGTACCCATCCGTCAGTATAGTTTTTCTGATCGATTCATTTGCCTACTCTATTATTCTGCTAAACCCATCCATTGAGTTTTTCATTTCAATTATTGTGGTTTTCATTTTTATAAATGAAATTTTGGTCTTTTTTCAAATCTTTTAGTTCACTTTTTATAGATTCCTATCCCATGCAATCATTTTAAAGTGTATCTTATTACTTTCAAAAATAGTAAGCATTGGGCTGGCCCGTGGCTCACTCGGGAGAGTGTGGTGCTGATAACACCAAGGCCATGGGTTCGGATCCCATGTAGGGATGGCTGGTTAGCTAACTGGGTGAGCGTGGTGCTGACAACACCAAGTCAAGGGTTAAGATCCCCTTACCGGTCATCTTTAAAAAAAAAAAAAAAAATAGTAAGCATAATTATTTCCTAGTCTGTCCCTGGTAATTTTAATATGTGAAGTGTTTATAGTTCTGGTTTTGTTGTCTGTTGTTTCTGCTGCTTCATGCTTATGGTGTATTTTTCCCTTGTGTGTTTAGTTTCCTTGGAAAATTATTTCTGAGATTTTTATCAAGACCAAGAGTAAAAATTTTGACCCTCCAGAAAGGATATGTGTTTGCTTTGCTAGGTGCCTAGGGGTAGTTCCAGTTCAGATCTACTTTAATTTACATTCAGGGCTTCAGGTTTCTTGGACCACTCACATGATATGAATTTGGGTTGCAGACATGAAGAGGAGCTACTGCCTGGGTATAACTTCTCAGGGATGGTTATTCTGCTCAATGCTGTGACAACCTTCTTACAGTTTCTTGGAGGATGGGGTGGAGGGTGTACTTTTGGTTTACTTTACATCAAGGGTGTAACACTTTGTGGTTCCAGCTCTTTCAATATCGAGTATTCTGTTAGACTCCCCACTTTTAGTGGGCAATAGGCTTTCTTTCAGTAACCCCCTCACCCCTACTCCCCACCACAGAAAACCAAAGTTATCCCTCTGGACTGATTCTTTCTTCAGCTCTTCAATGCTGCAGATGATTCTACTCCTAGAATCATTAGTCATTAGTGAGGAATTTTATCCAAATAACCTAGTCCATCACATTACTAAATTCAGAACTGCTTTGAAACAGTTTATATAACAGAGATTATTGTTCCTTGATGGTTTGGAGAAACTTCCATAAAACCATTTGAGCCAGCTATCTTTTCTTAGCATTTCATCACTGACTTTTTGGTTATTAATTATGGTTATTGGTTGATTGAGGTTTTAAATTCCTTCATAAATCAGTTTTCCTATAAGACTTATTCCATGCATATAGATCTGTGCTGTACAATATGATAGCCACTACCCATATGTTTAATGCTTAATAGCCCTAGAAATGTAACTAGTCCAAGTTAAGATGAGGCTTAAGTGTTAATTTAAATCTTCAACAAATAAATTGCAAGGAAAAAAAGAGAGACAGAAAGGGGGTACCAAAAAAGATTTAACTGGAATTTTAATTTTTAAAAAATATTGATAACAAGTTGAAATATTTTGGATACATTGGGTTAAATAAAATATTGTAAAAACGAACTTCACTTCTTTTTAGTTTTTTAAGATGTGGCTGCTAGAAAATTTTAAATTACACATGTGACTCATATTTATTACTCATATATTTATTGAACAGAGCTAATTTAGATTTTCTAATTATTGGTATAGAGTTGTACATTATATATATATATATACATATATATATATATATATATATATTTATTTATTTATTTATTTATCTTTATTTATTTATTTATTTATTTTTGGCAGTTGACTGGTACGAGGATCCCAACCCTTGACCTTGGTGTTATCAACACCCCACTCTAACCATCTGAGTGAGCTATGTACATAATATTCTATGTATTTTAATTTCTTCAACATAAAGTTATGCTTCTTTTTTCGTTCTTAATTTTTAAGATCTTTTTTCTTTCCTTATCACACTTGTCAAAAGTTTGGTCTTTTCCTAAAATCAGCTTTGTTTTACTAGTTTATAAAAAATACAGAAGACAGGGCCGGCCCAGTGGCGCACTGGAGAGTGCGCCGCTTGGGAGTGCGGCGGCGCTCCTGCCGAGGGTTCGGATCCCATGTGGAGACCAGTTCCCGCTCACTGGCTGAGCGCGGTGCGGGTGCAACACCGAAGGTTGCGATCCCGTTGCCAGTCCCCGGTACGGGCGCGACACTGAGGGCTGCGATCCCGTTACCGGTCAGTAAAAAAGACAAAAAGGAAAAAAAATACAGAAGACAGAGGAACAATTTAACACATTGGGGATAAATCTGCAAAAACCAGAATGTTTTGCTCTACATGAAAATCTGGCTTCTTCAACAAATAAATTGCAACAAATAAACTGCAAGGAAGAGAGATAGAAAGGGGTACCTAAAAAAGATTTAAGAAACAGTCTAAATGATACATACATAGATCTGTTTGTGTTCATGACTTGAACTAATCATCTATTAAAATTGTTAAACAATTAGGAAAATTTGAACACTGACTGGATACTTGATGATGTTTAAGAATAATTGTTATTTGTTTTTAGGTCTGATAATGGTATGTGGTTATATTAAAGAGTCACTCTCTTTTTGAAAGATATATTCAGATATTTACAGATGAGATTTTATGTCTGGGATTTGGTTCAAAATAACCCAGTGTTGGTGGCAATGGGAAGTAAATATAGATAAAACAAGATTGGTCCTGAGTTGATCATTGCTGAAGCTGGATGATGAGTACATGAGGCTTTATTACTAATTTTTCTACTTTTGGATATGTTTGGAAATTTTCATTATAAAAACATGAAAGAAAAAAGAGTCTTGGTTATTCTAATTAAGTTTATTGCTTTGTTTTCTAGTTCATTGATTTGTGCTTTGGTCTTTAAAAAATTCTTCCCCTCTTTGGCTTTATCTTTCTGTACTTATTCTAGGTTCTTTTAGTACTTTTTTGTGTATTTTCCAATATTTTCTTGTTTGCTAGTAAATACATTTAAGATATAAATATTCCAAAAAACACTTTGGCCACCCAGCACAGTTTTCTTATGTAGTGCATTCTCTTGTTCATTTCTAAACAGTCTGTGATTTCTGTTTAGAACTGGTTATATTTTAGTGACAAAGGGATAATCAAGTTAGGAGATTTAGGGCAATAAATATCTATAGCAAAGCTGGAGAATTGGAAGGAAGCAATTTTAATTTTTTGACTGTTTCCTCTCATATTTTTACCTTTACTGTCATCAGATCTTCTCAGGAACTCTATACAACATTCTAGTTCTGAGGCACAATTCTCTATTCTATTTCAGGTTGCCATAGCCTTCGGCTTAAAGAGGACCATGATGATATTGAAGGAAGGATCATTTCTGTGGTACCTCTATCTGGACAAAATATACTGCTTACTATCTGTGAGAAACGTGAAGGCCTTGGTGGAATATTTCCATATACTTGATGTGCACCACAAGAACACCTTGAATGGTCAGTATTTTCAGAAACATTTCCTTTAGGTTGTTGCCTGGTTTTTAACTAATTTGCAGGAAAACTTGCAGAATAAGAAACTAGTTAACAAATATTTATATTCTAGATGAAGCCCAGAGAGAACTTACCAAATGAGAGTTGAGACTGGTGGCAGTTCACTAGGGAGGATACAATTGCAGACTCTGGAGTTAAGTCCTGGCTCTACTCGCTTTTCTAGGTGATTTGGAAAACATGTCATTATCCCCTTTAAGTCTTGTTTTCCTCATCTAGAAGTGAGGCTTCTAATATCAGAGTCCATCTCATAATTGGAAAAAAAAAGATAATATAATGAAATAATATATGGCAATGCTTAGCACAGTGCCTGACACATTGAAAGGACCTAGTAGGTGCTCATTGTTATTATTCTTGAGAGCTGAGCTCCACTTAGGCATTAACCCTGAAACTCCTTAGCAAGACTTTACTTCTTATCTGTCAAATGGGAGGTTTGAATCAGATGATCTAGTTGTTGGTACCTGTGAGTGACCAAAATATGAAGATTTTAGCCCTGCCATTGAATCCAGAAACTAATAGAAGACCAATTAAAACACTTTGGGGTCTTTTTAGGACTGTGTGTAAATAAGGTATCCTATCCATTCATTCATTTTGACCTCAGAGAGATAAAATGTAACTTGTGAATGTTCCTTCCATAAAGATTTTACAAATAGTCCATTCAATTTTAAAAGACAATAAAAAGAGAATACCTTTTTTCATAATTTCATGCCTCACTGTTTCTTTGTAAATTTACATACAGTATGTTACCATATCTTTGCAATAACCCTGCACTAGATAAGGAGCTGCAAGGCACTTAGCTGTAAATAAATGAGCTGAGATGGAAACTCAGAGCTTTCTGACTCCAGAGTACACACTCAGTCTCACCGGTATGTGTGCTAAGAAGAGTCTGATCTCCCTAGTAACTAAATCACTCCTCGATGATGCAATACTTGAGAGGTGAAGTCATGCTTATGTCTTCTGGTCACTGAGGGACTGGATAGTGACCTGAAGGAGTGAAGACAAATATCTTCCAGGGGCAGGGGTTGACTTAAGGCCTTGGAGACTTGAGTGGGCCAGAGTCAGCTGGTTTTAAAACAGTATTTATTAAGTAGCAACTAAGTCCCACATGAAAACATGTCTCAAAGAGCAGCTACACAAACCTCACTGTGTGTATGTATACATGGTATGTTGTTCCCAGGTGTTCATACAACTATGGGCAGCCACATACCACTGTATAGATGTATCACCATTTGTTTCTTCCATCTACTCACTGAGACATGATTAGTGAGTGGAATGGCAGGGAAAAAACTTGAGCAAGATATGGCCTCACCACGGAAAGAGCAAGGCTGTGGAGTCAGATGGGTCATCATTTGAACCACACCTCTGCCACTTGCTATGTGAAGCACCCCTTTACCATTCAAAGTATGGTCCACAGCAGCTGCATCATCTAGGAGCTTGCAGAACTGTGGAAATTCTCAGTCCAATGCCAGATTTTCTGAATCAGAATCGGTAGTTTTACAAGATCCCCAAGTGGTTGGTAATATCCATTACACCTTGAGAAGTGCTGATATAGAATCATTGATAGGAGGCTTATTATAAAAGGGGTATGATACCACTTTCTCTGTAGGATTGTCAAGGTTCAGTGAGATTTGGCATTTAAAGTGCCCACATGGGTGGTCAGTATGGTTTGTTCTCTACCCCCTGTAGCCAAATGCATTTGCTTTATATAAGCATGAGGAATATTAATAATTTCAGAGAAGGGGAATGATTTTTTATTGCTATTAATTATCTCAAGAGAAAGGTCCAGGTAAAATGTCAGAAGCTCCAAGAAAGTGTCCTAGGTCCCCAGAGAGAATTAAGCTTTCCCTTCCATACATGAGGAACATTTTGTGCCTGTTTTACATTAGTACTTTGCCTTTTATCAGTGATATATACACATCTGTCTGCTCCACTGAGCATGTGAGCTGTCTTCAGGCACCAAGCCCTATCCACTCTCTCATTCTCCACAACACTGAGCACAGTGCTTTTCCACACAGCTCAGGGGCAATTAAAGTTTGAGGAATTGTGGAAGATATAGTGGTGAAGCCACAAACAAAATATCATTATTCCTCCCAGGTCAACAAGCTTCCAATATTACTACTGTTTATGTAGTAATATGGGGCAGAGGAGGCAGAGTTTGGCTCCCTCATCTTGCTAAAAGCAGTTGTTTAGCATTTTGGAACCATTTCAGAATAATCCATCTGCTCACTCCTCACCTTAACAGATGTGCTGTTCTATCACTTCCTTCATCATGTGACTAACTTGAACAGGACACAGATCATGATTTTGTTTGACATACTGGACTGGAATGCTGTGGGTGAAATTGGCTTTGACCAGTTCTACATGTTGGTTTGCATTCTGCTCTCACACCAGGCAAGTAACAAGTCAAGATCTGGTGCAGAAGAGGCAGAGCTTGGCTCCATCATCTTGCAAAAAGCAGCAATTAATCAGGAATGCATCAGAGTTTTTCTTCCTTTCACTAAAAACAGAGCAAGAAAAAATGGGGGGAGGAGGCTAATTTTGGTTCCTGAATGACTTATCCATAACCTGGACATTCTTGACCGTTACCCAGCCTCTCTCCCCTCTACTGCTCCTGCCTATCTTCAGCACTCCTACATAGCCTCTCCTTATAAAGAACAGATCTCATCCTATCTCAGCCCTTCTGGGCATGCCCTTCCTCACTTGTTCTATCTGGTGATTTCCAAAGAATCTCGTGTCTCACTCCCTCAAATGACTTTTCTCAGAGAATTTTCTGAAGGGGATATTTGATGGAGATGAGAAACACTCTTCTTTGGGTTTCCTCCTTACTATATACACACTTCTAGTGTTATTTACCTATTTCCCAGTTCTTGAGGAATAGAGGTCATCATTTTACCACCTGTGCCATGATGTTTCACAAGATTTTCACTGAATATAAGGAAGTACATTATAGTAACTAGAATTCTTTCTAGCAGAATTGATTACTACAGGTGGCCTAAGTTTTCCCTGAATGCAGCTGCTGCAAGCAAGACTTGATGCATTGATAGAATGCTTTCAACCCTGAGCTTCTATGATTTTGCCTTTTGCTTTTAGCTCTCTAGGCAATGGGCTGGTGAATATACAAGTCTTGAAGTAACAAGTTTAGAAAGCAGTACCGACAATATCGTTCCTTTTCTTACATATTTCTCAAAATAGGACCATTTGGAAGGGCAATTTATGTATCGCCATTCCCGGCCTGTTTTTGACCTGCTTGACCTAGATGGGGATCTGAAAATCGGTGTAGACAACTTCCACATGTTCAGATTTCTCTTCAATATTAATAAACAGGAACTCAGAGAGCTCTTCCATGACTTTGACATCACAGGTGACCGTGTAAGTGCAGATCCCTCTTTCTAAAAGCAGGGGACAATGTCCTATTACCTACAGTAGAGATGGGTGAGGAAAAGGGTGGGAAAAACCTATTCAAGTAAGGGTTTTGCATGGTGCTAGGATCAGAAGAAAACTGAAGAGGCTTATGGGCCCTTGAAGAGGGCTAATTTGACTAAGTGTTACATCATGTAATAAGGATACAAATTATAGTTTAGAGAAAGAAATATAATATGTCAGTAGTTGGTGTTCGGGGAAGGGTTTATAGATTTGAGTAAGAAGAAAGAAATTCTATAATGGGAACACATGAGCAAAATCCTAAGAGGAAGCTCTGGTAAAGAGAGTGAATTCTGCTTATTTCAGGAGTAGGTCCATGTTAGGAAGCAATGTGAAGAACCTTATATGCCAGCACGAAGTGTCTGGACTTGACACAGTAGAAGTGAAAATGACCCTTGTCCCTTTAGAGTCTACAATAGACTGGATACTAGGCTACAATCAGACATATAATTAGGTCCTAATTATTGTGCCTCTTTAAGTTTCCAAGTTTCTAAAAAAGGTATTATTTCTAAATAAGAAATTATTACAATCCTGCTGTCATCTGAAATCCTTCCTGAAATAATTTTTCTTTTTTCCCCCGCAACAAAAGCGTCTTAATTACAAGGAATTTAAGCTGTATACTATCTTCTCCTTTGACAAATCCCAGGAGAGGCAGAAAGCAGCAAAAGAAAAAGAGAAATCTCTGCTCATACAGAAAATGTCACCTCAAGTTGATTGGAGCCAAATGAGTTGCTTGAAAAAAATGGGATCTGAAAGTAGAGAACAAGATCAAAACTGTTAACATGTCGAACAATAAACTTAGAGCATCGGAGTGGGTGTCTTTACCTTGACTTTTATAACATGAAGGGTCCAATGAGCCCTCCTCAATCAATAGGTTAATTTTAATAACTTATCCACCTTACAATAAGGTAATGTGAAGTAACTACTTTCTTTTGTTGACATGTCCCAATTCTGCTGCTGCTTTTAAGATCAACTCTACTCATTAGGTCCCTGTGTATCAAAATAATTACCAACACTTACTGGAGCTAGGAAGTTGAAAGAAAGTGAAACTTTCCTAAAATCTGTCATTAGTGGTCTAATACTCGCAGAATCCTTTCTAGTCTTCCAGTCCTTAGGCTAAGACCATCTGGATGCCAGAGACTTCAAACTGGGCAATGGTGAAATGCCTCCAACCCTAAGGGAAGTTGACTTTTTGGAGGCTGTATTCTTCATAGAACCTGAATTAGTCTCTGATGAGTTAGGTGCTTAAGCATCTGTACCAAATCTACTACGGTAAAATAATTATTACATGCCCTTGTATAGTTTAAATTTTTGTATAATAAATGCCTTAAATAATTTAAAAATATTTTTGGCATGGGACTTGTGAATCCTTTCTACCTGATTGTACTGTGATGCTAATAATTATGACAAGTACCATATATTATGTGCTTGATATGGGTTAAGCAGTTCTTTAGATGCATGACTTTATTTATCTTTATAACCCTGAGAATTAAGTGCTATTATCCTCGGTTTAGAGATGAGGAAATTGAAGCTACAGTGATTAAGAACCTTACCCCAAAACATATGGCTCACAAGTGGTAGGACCAAGATTCAAATTCAAGGTCAATTAGATGCCTGTGCTTACAGCCAGGGATCTGAGTAACTTACTTCAGGTTTAGCAGATTGTTTGTTTTAAGCAGGCATTTGATTAGCTCAGAAATCCCTTCTGCATAATTTTAATTACCACATCTCCTTCTACCATAAGTTTCTGAGGAACAAATTTGAGAATTAAAGAAATACAGCTTATTTACTATAAACCAAGGATTTCTTAAGGATATATAACATAACTGACCTTAAGGCATTCAATGAGTTCCCGAGTACCTAATATCATCAAAAACAAAATTTGATTTTACGTTGTCAATGTGCAACTGACAAGAATACTGCCTAAGACTGTCATTCATAATTCAAACTTGTAATAATAGAAATCATGTTAATTATTATGAATACTTCTCTATATTTACTGTGATATTGGATTTTGATAACACTCTTTTCAGCATGACTGTTGTGGTTAGCAGCCAAAACTTCTCTCCTCCCCACAATAGTACCACAAAAGATGAATGGAACTAACAAACTCAACTCAAGTCACTTGACCTCTGATCCCCATATGGGGATAATGGTATCTATCTCACAGAATTGTTGTGAAGACCAAAAAGATACAAAACATCTCACAACAGTGCTCTTGCCTTTTTCTGATCTGGTGAAGTTTGCATTATTCTCCAAGGAGAAATTTGCCCTCTGACAAACAAGTATGGACACTACTACACCTATAAGGAGTATTGACAGACTAGCACTGTTTGGCCAGAAGATGGCAGCTAGAGATTAGCCATTGTTCCAAGGTGCCTCACCACTAAGCTCACCTTGGTATAGCTGCTTCTTTTGTGGCAGTCTAGATGGCTTTTAACACCAGACAGCCTTAGGATCTAGATGTGATTCCGTGAGAAGAAACTGCAGGGAGGTTTTAGGAAGGCTTCTTTTTCTAGGGGGTCCTGAGACATGAAGAGTAACCATGGCATATGTGTTTTTTCAGATATGGCCACTAAAGCAATGAAAACACTACTCCTTATTGTTTCAGAATGGGGGCAGGGAGGGAGGAAGGATAGCCAAAGATAATAGATATAGTAGGTATTAATTCTGGCTAAATAAGTTAATTTTAAACCACATTTAATGACTAAAGTTATTATAAGTTTTCCCCTTCTCTATGGAAAACATTAGGGTGACTATAAAAGGCATTATGAATCAACTATCATATTTTAAAAATTCCTTTTAAGATTATCTTCCTAAACTGGGTGGTTTTATAACAGTATTAGGAAACTGAACATTTATCTCTGATAGGCCCAAACTGAAGTTCAGTGTAAAAACTAAAATTCAGATGCTCCAGGAAAGTGATACTCTTGAGACTAGGAATACAGCAAATACAAAAATCTATCAATGTCCACTTTAGGACTTTTTTCTCAATTATATTAAAAATTTTAAATATGATTTTGCAGGTATGTGTGTAATTGTTTCAATTTAAGTTTCATTATTACCACAGTGAGTTAATCCACTAGGATATGCTTTTAAGGGTAGAGCTCAGACCACATACATTTAGGTACGTTTCTATATGTTAGCAACTCTATATTATTACTATGTCATAGTTACGTTAGATTTTCTTGATAAACAAAGTGTGTTCAGGGGGCCCTAAGCAATGGGGAGAGAGGAGATGCACTTGCAGGGGTATATGTAGCTACAGTCTCAGCCCAGGGCCACAGGACAGGTTCCTCTACAATCTATGTGAGCTATAAAGGGAAAGAATTTTGGAGGAAGCTAATTACAAAGTAAAATCATTTCTTTCACCAGTCATTAGCGCTCATGTTTTATCATCTTAAGCATTATGCCAAAGACAAAGGCTAGAAAAGGCCAAATCGACTGTGCTGACATCTGCTCAGATGGGATAGTTACCCACCTGAGCAGCCCTTACAGAACCAGAGGGATCAGAGGCTAAAGGGATTGCAAGAGACCCAAACAGAAATCACAGGAGACTGGCTATATAGCAAGGGAGGTTATCAGCTGTGCTCTTTTTATCTTCTTCCTAAGTAAAAATACTAAATCACAGTATTTGAGAGTCAGAAGTGAACACAACATCTATCTGCCAATTTGTGCAATTAACAAGAACATTAAAAAGTAGATAGTCTTAAAAACTGTCATAAAATAAGGATTTTTTTTTTCTTTTCACATCAATGAGGAAAAGACGGATGAAAATTATTTGATAAGTAGTATCAGGAAAAGGGAGTAGCTACATTTCTGGAAAAAAAAAATATGGATTTCTACCCTATTCCTTTCATCAAAATAAATTCCATAGAACAATGAAACCGTAAAAGAAATACTAAAAAGATGAGAGAAAAACTTTTATAATACCTGAATGGGAAACACCTTTTGAAGTTAAGAAGAAAACCTAGAAGCCATAAAGTAAGAGACTGATAGATCTAACCATGAAAAACTTAAAATTTGCACTTGGTAAATTCCTCAAAAACAAAAGAAATGGCAACACATGACAGAAAAAGACTAATTTCCTTAATATAAAAAGAATACTTACAAATCAAGAGGATAAAAATCAAAATGCAATAGTAACATGGGCAAACATAAACAGGCAATTAATTCACACACACACACACACACACACACACACACACACACACACACACACACACACGGCCTTACAGTAAAATTCTAAAGTAAAACCACCGGACAGTTTTTCACTTATCAGATTGTCAATAATCAAAAAGTTGGTCAGGGTATAGAGAAATAAGAACAGTCATATTGCTATACCACGGGTATAAGTATAAATTGGTAGAATCTCTTTGAAGGGTAAGTCACACACATCTATAGAATGCACTCCCTCTAGGATGTATATAGATACAAAGATGTATCTGTATAAAAGGAAATTCACTGCAGGACGGTTCACAGTAGCAAAAGACTAGAAATAGTCAAGCTGACCACAATTAAGAGTCTGAAATAAATGTGGTACACCCAGACAATGGAATACTACTACAGCTATGAAGAGGAATGAAGCATATCTAGATCTAACATATATACAACAATCTCTAAGATTGACCATTTTAGAGAAAAACCAAAGGTGTAGAATAGTGTACATATTTATGGAAAAAATGGGGTTGAGTGAATATAGTTATATACACTAGAACAGTGGTTTGCAGAGTGCCTCCCAGATCAGCAGTCACAGATTCACTGGGGAACTTTTATAAATGACAATTATTGGGCCCCACCCAGACCTACTAACTCATAACTCTGGGGAAAGGGTCTAGCAATCTGTATTTTAAGAAGCCTTCCAGGTGATTTTGTTGGATGCTCAAGTTTGAGAACCACTGTGCTGGAATAGCTTTAAAGATACCCAGAAAACTGTTAAAAGTTGCTACCTCTGGGGAGGAGAAACAGGAGACAAGTGACAGGAATGGAAGGCAAACTCTTCACGTTGGTAGATTTGAATTTTTTCCCATGGGTGTGGATCACTTATTTTAAATAAATTTTTAAAATTTAACAAAGCAAAACCTGCCACGTTGATCCAAAAATGGATAACAAACGACCTTAGCACTTCAGAAAAACTGAATTATGAGTTTTGGTTTACAGCATGATTCTTAAGAGAAAAATCAACAACAAAATTTAGACCAAGATTTCAATGCAGAAGATAAAGCATATAGTGACCATATATAATCTGGCATAGCACAGCCTAAGTTTGGTGATAGTGAACTTATTATTGAGCTGAGGTTTTAAAAAGAGGAAAACCTTCACACTTCTCATTAGAATGAGGCAGATTACCCTTATAGAGAGAGTAACAACAATTAAAAACTCAGAATAAAGGCCAAGACGAAGAGAAAAATTGAGCACTTTTTTTTTAAAAAAAAGCACAAAAACCCTACATACTAAAATTATACACATCAAGTATTGGTCCAATCTTATATCAATCTATTTACAATTAAACAGCACCATGGTTTTCTCACCTAGGTTAGTTAAACATGCCCAGAGAATTGTTATTCAAAGTATATGTTCCTTTAAAATAAACTCTTAAAGAGAGCTCAAATCCTCAACAAACAAGACCTTTTACCAATCATAGATTATTAATGACATCATCAAACTTCCTTTAAAAAAAATAGGTTTAAACACTTTTTCTCCCCAGTTGACAAACGTTGAGAGATACTGCTATTCAATGTGGCACACAAAATGAACAAAACCTTTTTGATGACAGGGCAACATACTGAAATACTCTCATATCTCCACCTGTAAATATAAAAATTCTCCTTTGGAATTAATGCTGTTGTCTTCTCTTTATCTTAGATTCAATCAGCAAACCTAAATTAGATGTAGCCACAATCTTTAAAATGATTGCAGAAAAATAGGGCAGTAGTTAATGCTCTCAGAAATATGATATGTTACAGATATATTTAATCAGGCTATAGGAAATTTAATACCATTTTAAACATTAGATTTAAACTAATTAGCAGTTTCATTTTGTCATTAAAATTAATAATGGTGCTTTACATCCAAGTAGGTGTGGAGGGTTGATATTTCTCAACTGAGAACAGCATAAACCGCTTCTGCCTCTACTTTTCCACCTCATGGATTCTTAGGGGTACAGTGGTCATGTGTTAGCACCCTTCTCACTTATGGAACGGACTTTTACAAGGCTCCAAATTAAACACAATCCTTGGCAGCTTTACTCCAGTCATAGGCAGAAGAATCAAGTTATCTCACTGGATTTTTCAGTTCCCTAATCTAATTTGCAAACGGTTCTTAATTTTCCTCTTTGCTAAGAAAGATAAGGGAAGAACACTGTCATTCACCATGACTAGAGGTAACTGTGAACTGGAAAGTACTAAGGTATAAAGCAATGTTTCATTATTTGGTCTCACTGCTGACATTTAAATGATGCCAGTAAACCTTTCATACTTGTAAATTCTCAGTTGAAATTTTCTCTAAGAGACTGAAAACAGGCACAGTTCTCCCAGGCACAGATGGAATAGGTTTTTCTTACATCCTTCCTGCAAAGTGGGGGAGAAGAGATAATTACTTTATTATCCTATAGTGGGAACAGCTATACTTGTGTTCTGTGTTCCCTGCCCCAGAAACTATACATTTGGGGTCACAGTTAACTATGAAATATTCCAAGCAGAGTAGATAGATCTATGAAGGTATTATATAGTAGAGACCTTCTAAGCCTGCAGGTTTGTTATATAGATATTCCAAATACCTACGCAGCAAGAGAACAAGAGACTTTTCAACTGAGTATCAGTTAAAAGGCAGATATCTGACTGCACTGACTAAATTATTGCCTAGTGTTCCAAAAGAGTACCTGCCACCAACGTGCTGGAAGGCACCAAAATTTAGTGTGAATGTAAATAAGGAGCTCAACGTTTAGGGATGGGGAAAGCAACACTGAAACACAATTTGCCAGTCTCTACTCCTTTATGGCTAAATATTAACTGAGCTAAGAAAAAAAAACAGAATAGAGGCAAACCTCAAATACTGCTCTTTTCAATTTCCATCTTAATTTAAAGGAAAAAAGCTTAAATTTTATAACTGTTATTAGTGATTTCTGGAAATTATATAATTTGATATATTTTTCAAAAAATTCTGCATTCAAAAGGTGCTTGGTGCTGTTCTTCATGGATGCAATGTTCCATTTACAGTCCAAATCATTTAAATACAGCCATTACATAGTTGTTAAGTGTTTCAAAATAAATGGTTATCTATTTCTTAACTGCCTCTCAAATTAGAAATTATAATTACATGAGTCTCAAAGGCTGGCTTTTTGTGTTTTATTATTTTTGTTGGTCTCCATCACAGATGGAATTTTTCACTGGTAATTCCTCAGAACTAAATCCATTCATAGGGAATTCAGAGCAGTGAAAATAAATTTCACGCCATAGAGTAGGAAATGACAACAATAAAAAGGAGTGGAGAGATCTGGAAACCAGCCAATAGGACCAGTTCAGTTCTCAACTGGTGTTGGGTTTTGCAAAGGTTGGCTCACTATAACCTGTACAACATAGTCCTTTGGGATCTTCAGCTCTTCCAACTTCATTTTGTCGGTGAGAGGTCTGCCAGAGAAGAACCACCGCTGACTACTTGGTTCCACTCCTTCTGTTGCATGTAACCGTCTCTTCATGTGGAATACTGTGTCTGTACTGCGGACCACAAGTTTGAGGTCTTTGCCTGTAGAAAGACGCAAACGTAGCTGACATTCATACCCAGAATTGGGTGGTGGCTCAGGAATATCCAGAGTCTCTATGTCACTCTTTTCCTCTATCATGTTGATTGGTGGTGCCAAGCAATAGACTGGAAGCTGATATCTGTTTCCCAGTTCGTCATAGCACTCTGTAAGTGCACCTTCAGAGAGAGAAGATATGAATAAGAGTTTAATCTAAATGAACATATATTTTTTGCACCTTGCTTAAGATTCTCTTGCTAGCATGCCACTTTAGAGAAAAAATATATAATGCCAATCACTGTCAGCTAATCATCAATGATAATCATCAAGTCCCATGCCCAATTATGTGTTTATCTAATTTTATATTAACCATGACTACAGCACCTTACCCCTACCTCTCCTAAATCATGTCATACCTAGTCCACAACTTCAATAAAATAGAAAGGATATGAAAGTACACAAAATGCAAATTTACTAACATTATTAATACTTAGGCCAAATTAAGGGGAAATTTAAATTACATCGGGTTTTAAAGAAAGGCATCAGCTACCTTAAGCCAACAAACAAACGAGAAAAAAAAATGGATCTTTATGCCCAATTCACCACAAACACAAGTGTTCCAGAGCAGTTTTCTTAGTGCCTGGACTTCCTAAATTGAAGTACTTGGCCAGAAATTCTTAATCCAAAGAGATTAAGATGATAGCCTTACCAACTGCCCCAGACTCACGGCATATATATGAATCTCATTAGCACAACTACCACAGAAATGACTGAGATGTTTTATTTAACCCCAATAGTCAATCTATTACAGAGAAGCTATGAGTTAAAAAGGAAGAACAAAAGGGGGGTGAAGTTTATGAGCTAGCTCTGGGGAGAGAAAAAAACATCATAGTTTTTTAAAAAGTATTAATGGCTAATTTACTTATAAAGCATAAACTGCATTACAATTACCAGGACTTCCTTGGGGAGCACAAAAACATAACTTAATGAACATTTTATTTTAAGGTTGCATATAACATGTCCTTTCCTCAAACTGGAATATTAATGTTGTTTGATTATCACTTTGGATAAAAAACAAAAACACCTACCATATTCAAATCATTCATACACAGGGTAGTAAATACAGGAAGTGGAACACTGAGCAATAGTTATCAACAAACAAATGAGTTAATGAACTGATATTTGTGGTCACTGTCAATAGGCTGAAAATACAAAGCATTTGAAATGTGACTGAATGACCCGTCCCATCTAAGTTATATAAGATGGGCTGGGGTGATAGCTTGGTCAGAAAGCAGAATACACATGAATCTCACCTCTCTTCTCTGTTTAAAGATATTGTCCAGTCTCTGTGTTATTCACTAACATTACTATGACACTGTAGAAATGGATCTACTGCAAGCAAAGTTGTGATCACTAGAAATTCCCTACATCAGTAACCATCACACTGCAGTACCCATGTATTTATAAATATTGGTATAGTCAGTTGTGCAAACTTCACTGCTTATATACTTTATACAGTCTGGTCCTGAGGCAAAGAAACCTATCAGAGTGTCTTTCAGATATGCTGGCCATCATGAGAACCAGAAAAGAGAAAGCAGAGAGTTTACTACAGACCCATCACCTCTATTAGAAAAACAATTTCAGTGTTGTTGGACCCTCACTGATGTTGGAGGGTCAGCAGAGTCAGCCTTGTAGATACAATAACACATTTATATAATTGTTCTGCTACAAACAATTCTGTTAGAGAGGCACTATACCAAATCATTACCTTCACATTCAGGAGACCAACATGAACTCTTGCCTTTTTGTTACCTAGCTGTGCAACCCGAGCAATGTTCTTTAACCTGAAATACCTTTCTCAAATGGCAAAATTAGGCAGGATAAAACTGACCTCTAAAGTGGTTTCCAGGTTTACACAAGCTTCATTATCTTCATAGACCATGACAGATATAATATAGCAGAGTGATGTCTTGACTAAAATCATCCTACATTTGTGACCTCCATAGAAACTAGGACTAAGGATGCCATGGAAGCCTTTATGTAGTGCTAAAACAGTAGTATATGCCAACCTCAAAACAAACATACAAACTAATAGGCACACTGGCTCTTACTAGATCAGAATACACACTTCTCCATCATAATGGAAAGAAGCCCTGTCTTTCCCTCCAGCCCTTCAGCCCAGCACGTCAGGGTTTAACTTTTAAATCTCAAATGGGTGAGAAAAAAACTCACAGCTAGATTACATTTATTCTTACTCAAGCTCAGGCAGCACTCATATCCACAGTGCTGGAAATAAGCTATCCAGATTCTGTATTGCTTATAAGCTCCCATATTTTAATATTTTTGGAAAAGGTAACTTGTTTTTTATTTAATATAAAGTTTTCTGGTTTATTCTTTCCTTCATTTCTGCCTATAAAATTATAATCTGTGTTATAAATATGCTATAGTTTTAGATCAAACTAAAAATTTAAAGACTTCCGGTTTCCAGTCTGACATGTAAGAAACTTGGAAGTTGGGCCGGCCCGGTGGCGCACTGGATAGTGCGCCGCTTGGGAAGCGTGGTGGTGCTCCCGCCTGAGGGTTCGGATCCCACATACAGACCGGTTCCCGCTCACTGGCTGAGGGAGGCGCGGGAGCAACACCGAGGCTTGCGATCCCGTTGCCGGTCCCCGGTCCGGTACGGGGGCAACACTGAG